AGATGGGCTTTGGATGGTGTCTGTTTGTTTGTGTCGGCTTGCCAGATTGTTGACCCTGAGAGGGATCTTTTGCAGTGATGTAACATTTACCGCCTTGTGTGGAACCACGCGTCCCCCTCTTCCTCTCTGCGCTGCCCCACCAAACTTCCTGAGTGGAAAGACTTACCACATGAGCGGAAATTGCAGTCACTTTTCTTTTGACATTTTCTATTTGAGTATGACACAGTTCTAATTGCAGTTTCAAATCCATCATTTTTTTTAATGAACACATTTACCTCCTGTTATGCGTAATTGGGTGGAAAATGTGCAACAACAGGAAATGCTTATTTTTGAACAGAGCCCAACCCCATTTTTCGGTGTACCTGACACGTCATTCTGACCTTCAACAATATAAGCGTAACTACTGAAGATTAGTTAACTCTCACACAAGTCACAGAAGTGCATGGAACATGATTGTTTCCATAAGAGTGCAAAATGCCTGTGATGTTTCAATAAGAAAGAAAACAGCTAGAGAGACAACGTAAAACTCAGGCTCATTTCTCAACTACCACACTAACGGACTACAATGACAGATTCTTAGAAGGTTACAGAAATGGTTGGTACACAGTCGGCGAGGTGTGGTGGGGAGAAGGTCTGGCAAGTCATCAGGAGAATCATACTGGATCTTTAAGGTGCCCCGTGGAGTTCACTGATCAAAAAGTAGTGATAACAGCTCAAGATACGAACAATAGGCGCTCAAAGGCAGGGAACAGGAATACTGCAAGCCACTTAACTTTTATCCAAAATACTTTTTAATACATATTTGCAAATATAGGAGACAGGAAGGGCACTTGAATTATCTGTTAAATACATTCATTGCAATGTTTTGGTGAGTAATACTAAATGTGAACATGAACCTTTTTCTGTTTATAAGGAAACTCTACAAAGCCAATCTTGAAGAAGGGTTCTTGTAGTCAGGGGCGCTGCCAGGGATTTTGGGCCCCATGAAAAGATATCAAATTGGGCCCCCCCACCACCAGACCCAGGCCACGCCAACCAAGCACAATTGTTGTAACCACACCTCCAGAACCCAACCCACTCATTTATGCTTTAAATAACTTTACCTGTACAGGCTTGCCTCTATCTTGTAGTCCAATACTAACCGCACAATACTTACTGACACTGAGCTGTGAACATATAACACTGGGCAGACGTGCAACATTCTACAGTAGAATTCACTATTTGATATAAGACTAACATTCCTGACAATAGATCTCAATAGTCATCTTTTATGGTGTACATGCCTTTTTAATAACATTTATGAATGGAACATTCATAAATCTAAATAAATATAACTTAAATATACATGACCTCTNAAATTAAAATAAAGTGAACATTAACACCAATATTATCATTTATAAAATGCCATAACAAAAAAAAAAACATAAGCAGCAGATTTTTTTATTAAATAAAATACATACCAACTACAAAATAAGCGGGTATTAAAGTGTAAACGGACAACAAAACGGAAATGGAAGTGAAAAGGCCTGATGGTGGTGCTAAATTAGAGCCTATTACCTGTTCTCAGTCTTTTTCTCATCATGCGTCTTCTGTGTGATCCAATATCGCTACCATAGCTTTGCCCTTCAACAGTTATTGCGAGCCCTTGCTCAGCCAAGAGTCCAGCGCCTAGCCTTCTTACAGGCTAAGTCACTGATCAAGTCCTTGAAGTCCAGCCTTGCAAGACTGCAAAGCATTATGGGGGGACAGCGCTGCGGAGCCTGAATATGGATCTGTTGGTCCTGGCACCAGGGGGAGGGACAACTGATTTAGTATGAATAGCTGCTAAAAATGTACCTGCATTTATTAAATGTCAGCTAAAAGAGGAGTGAAATGAAAAACCTCTTCATTTTCTGTGAAGATATTAACAGTACTTAATGTCAGCAAAACATTACAATTATTATTTACAATGGACTAAGCTAAGCTAACAGACTAATTTCCACCATGGACCACCCACCTTTTCTTTTGAAAAACTGGGTGACATATTGTCGCCCTTTAGTCCCTCTCTCTTGTCTTTCTCTCCTTTCTTTTCTTTCTTGAAAGCCTGACTTTGTGTGGTTGAGACATGGCACACACGTAAGAACTAACATCCCTGCTCCTCACATGCTCTCACTCTTTGCCAGAAAGAGCGGTGCCGCACAGCATTTGGAGGCAGGACCAAACCATTACATGTAAATAGAGAGGGGTGTACAGAGGCTTTGGATAATTAACTTTTGGCAGAAAAAAAGTGAAATGAATCGTAAGTGTAGTGATTACATTATCAATTTAACTTTATATTAATGTTAATTGTTGATTGATGAAAGGTTACTTAAAAAATTGTTCTTAATGTTCTAAAAATGTTTGGGGCCCCTGTCAGTCACGGGCCCTTAGAATCGTCCTAACCTTTCACCCCCTTACGGCGCCCCTGCTTGTAGTGAAGCTCCACAGAAAAAAGCACACCTGATGCTCCACTTCCTCCAAACAATTAGAGAACCGAGACTTGGTAGAATTTTGAGTGAAGATTAACTGAAGTGAACAATTGATGATATCGTACCTAGTGTTTTAAAATGTACATTGGGACTTTGAGTCTGTACTTGTCACTTTTATAATCTATGAATCCATATAAACATCGGAGCTGAGCACAGCCTGCTACCGGCGGTAACTACAGACTTTTTACAGACACATTTTGGGTGTATCCCTTTAAACGATTCTCAGCTTTTTAGGTAAAACAAAGGCTACTTCCCTAAACACCATGACAAACACTCACCCACACGCTTAAACAAATTGTAATATGTTCTGAAGGGATACAAAAGGCTTTCAAGGTGAAATTGTTCAGGTAGTACCTTCAATGTTTCTTTTGACTTCAAAATTCACAACGTAATAAGGCTTAAGCATTTCCAGACTTCCCTTTGTTTCTGTAGCGCTTTGCCTTCAAACAATATTGTCCTGAAGATTCACATCTGTTTATCATCTGACAGGAACCTTTATCAAAGCCTGCTGTGTAGTCATCAGGTGTTGGTTATCGACAGCACACGAAGATTTGCTGGGGAGAAAATGTATTTTCCACAACCTTTGTTTTTCTGCAGTGTTGTTACAGCCAAGGAAGTGTAATTCAGTTCTCCACATTACTTTCATTTTCTACCTGTCCAGCACTCCAGCAAAGAAACACTACCCAAATAGTTATGCAAATGCTCATGCAATGTCAGCATATCAATGGCAAAAGTCATCCTAATTTAACACTCATTTCCATGATTTCTGGAAGACTATTCAGCATGCTTGAATGCAGGTTAGTTCATTAGTTCCAGGATTAGTTTCCCCCTCTCCCCAGTTTAGCGGAGTGAGATTATTTCTTCTCTAAGCTGCTTCACATACCAAAGGTCCTGCTTCACAGCTGAGTCAGTGATAGCTAATCTTTGATCCGTCTCAATCGTCTTCTGTTCACAGAGCGGTGCGAGTGCCCTTTGTCTTTATGTGTCTCTTTATTTGCACTACATACTGCTCTTCTTTGAACTCTTTGCACCATGTGAAGGTACACAGCTGGGTTGTCACGTAGATACGCTGTTGCAATGACGGCGCTCCTGCTGTGCTGTTTGCATGCTATGCATATGTTTATTTTTACACTTGCTTTCTAGTGTTTATATGTTAGAGTTGTTGGGTTATTCGGCCATATGGTCCTCGAGGACTCAGCAGGAATAAATATGACGCCAGGTGTCAGTGCTGTTCACTGTATAGCCCATCTATCTGGCCTCAATAAACAGGCCTCTGAGGTGAGATACTGATGTGCAGTTTGTTGTCCTGCCAACCATTCAGCCTGCCAGTGTGTTTAGCTGCTAGTGGCCTGAGCTGTCTTAGCCGTGCGGGGGCCTGACTGTTGGCTGACTGCCCGCCACACAGGGGTTGCGTTCTCTCCGTGCTCGGCGCTGACCTTCACTCTGATTTATGAGTTCCTTCTCGCAGTCTGTTTCCCCTCCTATCCTCCCTCTTTCCTCACATCCATGCAGTAGATTAGTGCTCTCCAGCTGTATCTCTGACTCCCCCGAACACGAGCAGGACCATCCTGTTTCCCCCACCGACATCGTGCTCTATAAACAAGCGTGTGATATGCAACAGATGTGAGTTCATCTCCTTGTTAACCTGTGCTGTTGCCTGAAGGCTGGATGAGAAACATACACACTATGGAAAACAAACAAAAACAGGATCTATGATATAACGTATTAGATAGGGTTTTTATCTGCTATAAGCTACTTTAATTTGTTTAAGTGAAGACATTTTGATTTATTTGTTTGTCCAAAAATATTGTTTTCTAACCAGTAACCCAATAGTGTGGGAGGTTCCACAAAAGCCTTGCCCAAATCCATGCAACAAAAGGGATAGACAGAGTGACAGGCTTGTACTCTGTGTGGCAGATCATTGAATACAAACTCCTTTTACCTCGACAGAAACAAAATGAGTTACTAAATCCTTCTTGCCACTGCCAACAATCACAATCTCTGGTAGGTTGGAAACAAACCCTTATTTCAGGAAGTTGGAAGTGCAAATCACCCAAAACAACTGGCAAAGACCCAACTAGTATATTTATCTAGACGCCCAACCTCACTCCACAGTACCACAGCATGCAGTTGTTGTGTATGTAGACACTCTCTCAGTGGATACAGTGGTCATGTAATAATCCACTCAGGATGTTTCTACTTAATTATGACCACTAGTGTAGAATAAATACCGGAAACTTGCTGATCGATTGAGTCTTCATGTTGCTGTTATTGTTGTAAAAGCTCTACAATGACTTGAATAATTCATCTGTGATTTTCAGCAGCTCAGAGTTGGCCAAACAACCTGTGTCATGCTGCTCTACTATCCAGAGTTTACACACTAGCTTCCAGGTCTGACCAGGCATCCGGTCCGTGACACACCCAGTGGAGTTGTGTAAGCAGTTATGACTTTGTTCAGATTCACAGCATTGTATCCTTCCTTTTTTTTTACAGGGGTGCAGCGTGAGGGGGAAGAGCTGATGAGGTGAAGAAAGCCAAAGGAGGCCACTGTGGTTCGCCTGCTCTCTCTCGGCCCTGATTCTGAGTGACCGCTGCTCACTCCCGCTTTTCACTTCGAGAGGAGGCTTGGCTCCCTCTGGGTGCAAGAAACACAATGTGCCAAAACTGGAGAGGATCTACCAGCGCCCCATAGTCCGCCAAGCCTCTCGTGAACCCTCCCCTCTAGTCTTGAGGACCCTCCTGATCCCCCACATTGCCCACTGGCCAAGATGAAGAATGTGGCAGCATGGTCTGCAGAAGATGTCTATGACTGGCTGAGCAAAGAGGGGATGCTGGAGTACATCGACGCCCTCCGTCAGACGGACGGTCCCGGTCTGCTCAGGCTCAACGAGGCAGATTTCCACAGGTCCCCCTTGTCGCTCGTGTCGTCTGACGGCGGGCAGCAGCTGTTGGAGCGACTGGAGACGCTGCGGATAGAGACTCACATCGAGGATCACAAAAACGGCCACGCAAACGGACACGCTGGGGGGCTACCTAACGGGACTAGCAAGCCTCAGAGGAACGGCATGAAGGACTACAGGATGGAGATGGTCCACATCCCCATCCCTATGAACGAAACCACGCGGCCCTGCTTCCCGACCGAGTGGGGGAAGACGGGCATAGCGTTTGCCTACGCGGTGGTGTGCTTTGTTACCACCACCATCGTAATTTCAGTGGTCCACGAGAGAGTACCGCCAAAGGAGCACACCCCCCCGCTGCCCGATAAGTTCTTTGACCTGTTCAACAGGGTGGAGTGGGCCTTCTCCATCTGTGAGATTAACGGCATGCTGCTGGTGGGACTCTGGCTGATACAGTGGATTCTACTCAAGCACAGGTACAGTCTAGCACAGTGGTTCTCAACTGGTCAGGCCTCGGGACCCACTTGTTCCTTTGTCAATAAATCGCAACCTGATATTTTGAACCAATCAAATCTATTCAACAAAAATCGTGCTGTAATATATATATATATATATATATACGCTTTTCAGCATATATTATTAATTAAAATGAAGTACAGTGCATATATCCCTTGTATCCCTTCACAGAACTAAAGTATGCTTTTTATAAAAGGTTTAATGAGTTGATGGAATCAAAGCTGAACTAACATAAAAAGGTACACATGCTGAAAACCCAACCCCAGAAAGGGGGTCTGGGGGAATTGTCCCCCAGGAAACTTTTTGAAATACTAACATATAAACGACGCATTCTGGTACACTGTGAGAAGAAAATAAATAAATCTATTACTACCCGACATATTAATAATATGCCATTGTTTGTTTTTCACTTTGTTCTGACCAGTGGCGTTGCCTGGCCTGGGTTTTTTCTGTAGCCCCGTCAATTCTCCCTCAGTAATATAATACATTAACCGTGCTTTACGTGAACCTCATCATGACACAAGAGAGGACGGTAGATCTCTAATTTCCCGTGTTCAGTGAATGCAACAGAGGCAAGACACCAGACCAATCAGAGAGGTGTGTGTGTGTGTGTGTGTGTGTGTGTGTGTGTGTGTGTGTGTGTGTGTGTGTGTGTGTGTGTGTGTCATTTAGTGTGAGAGGGGGAGAGAGAGGGACCGGTGCCAGCAGGGACCGTGTTGTTAGCATCTGGTTAGCTAGCTGCACTAACAGACATAAGGAGCGGTTTGTTCCACAACAAGCTGGAGGAGAGTCCTCTCAGACTGAGAGGCTCAGGTGAGCTAAACAAAGGACTCTTGAGTGTTTAGATAGTTAACTTTAGTCCAAGTTATCTCAGTGGGTCTCAAACGGTTTGGTCACAAATGATTCAACAGATTATCTCTGCGGCACACCTTCATATCGTTATAAAAAAAATAAGAGAATAAAGGAAAAACAGTTATGAAATCTACTATATGGCAGTAAAACAAGAATACAGTTTAAAAGGGGAGTGATTTGTAAAATATCCATAAAGAAAATCTGTTTACAGTTCTGTTTCATATGGGTGTTCCCGCCTGGAACACCACCACTAGTGTGCCCTTGAGTAAGGCACTTAGCCCTTAGTTACTCCAGGGAGAATGTCCCTGTAATTGTAAGTCGCTTTGGATAAAAGTGTCAGCTAAAATGTAATGTGATGTGTTGAGAGATGTATCCATAGATCTCTCCATGTTGCTCTCAAAGTGCACCAGATTGATGCTTTTAACTTCAATATTTCAAAAAAAATCTTCCCGGAGGAGCATCCCCTCGGACCCCCCTAGAGGAGGTGAGGTCCGTCCTTCACTCATAAAAAATAGCACTTTCTTTCCCCTGCCTATATGCCGTGAACTGACTATCGAGCCTTCATTGTAACAGTCGCTGATGTACTGTGTGTGTGCGTGTGGGGAGTGTTGCAGTAGAACATTCCACTGTAGCCACTGTGGGCTAAGCCCCGAATGTTTTCAGGTCCAGGCGACACCCCCTGGTTCTGACAGCTTGCTGCTCCACACAGAGAGAAGAGCAAAGAGGAGATAGTCTGTGTGACTTACTTTAAATTGTGGATAAGGGTAGATAGCTCCCATTGTTCTGTGACCTGTCAATCATCAAACCGGTGGTCATATTTCATTATGTGTTCTTTTTTATCTGAAGTTGTGCCTATGGATGTATAAAGAATAGTTATTCTCCGTGGGGACTTCCGGCAACAATCTTGCCGGATTCTGATTGGCCAGAAGACTGGAAAAAAACATCAGCAAAGATGTTTTATTGAGAAGATGATCACTACGTGACATGGTGGCACAGTACAAAACTAACTCTCACAAATATTTGCTTGTAAATTAATAAAAAATGTCTATACAGTGTTTTTGAGAATCAATACTGTATCACAGAACATAATACCACGATACTTAAGTAGTGTTGAGTTAGTAGTTTGACACACACCTAAAAAAAAACGTATTATTAATATTCTTTGTCTTTTTTCCAGGTCAATTATAGGCAGGCGATTCTTCTTCATTGTTGGCACACTCTATCTGTACCGGTGTATTACAATGTACATCACCACTCTGCCTGTTCCCGGGATGCACTTCAAATGCTCTCCAAAGGTATCATTCACACACTTTCATTTCTCTCGCCATTGCAGCTTTGTTGAGCTTGAAAGACTTCTCCCTTATATAACATGCTGAATGGGCAGATTGAGCAAAAAAAGTATTCCTCTTGTTAAAGCTGAAAGCCTCTGAGTGCTCTTCGCTGACCGCCCGTCATAAGATATGTGTGTGTCTGTTATATTGCGAGGGGCTTCAAGTGGTGGCTTCACTTTCTCAATGTCCTGTTATTATCAAAGGCTCTAGTAGAAAACACAAACTGTGCAGTGTGTGCAGTGTTTCTGTTGGATAATTGGAATACAAAATATTATGTTTTAATAAATAGAATAGTGCAAAGTGAGATAAATAATACAAATACAACTTTGAATTTTGTAGTGTCATTGAGTTTTCTTTATGCTTGTGCTGACAGGAAACAAAACACCAATGATATATACATATGGGTGCACACATCATAAACCCAAAAGCCTTCATAAAGTAAAAATGCAGTTATGGGAAATGCTCTCTTTGAGTTTAGTGAAATATCATTGTTATCAAAATGTCAGGATTGTTAGAACTGCAAGGTCATGGGGAAAACTTGTATTGATCCATGGCCTCTAGTGTTAAAGTCAAACATGTTCTACACCACATGTGTCAAACTCAAGGCCCGGGGGCCAAATCAGGCCCTAGGTGGAATTTAATTTCGGCCCGCAGGATCATTTTGAATTACTATGAGATCTGGGCCTCCGGTATATTGCACGCACACCTTCACTCAATCCTGAGGATTTCCTCAGCTCAGAGCCTGACTCCAAACATTGATGAACTTGCACCCAAGATGAAATGCCAAGTATCTGCTTGAGCTAGCATCACAGAGCAGCACACTGAGTTTAATGTATGTTTCCTTCTGCACTTTTTCTCTCACGACAACACGGCCTGTTTGTTTTTTTCTTTGAAGGAAATAGTTTTTTTGAAGCTGTTGTCGGCCTGTGGAAAAATGTAATCATAAGAAATGACTCTGGAAAAGCTGCAGATAGAGCCATAAGAAATGAATGAAACTGATTATTTAATGTTTAATGTTGTTTTTATAGGCAATAATTTAAGCTTTGTTAGTTCCAGGTTTAATATGTGTAATAAGTTCATTTCAATACATTTTGCAATAAACATTTAACTAGTCCGGCCCTCGACGAGTACCGATTTTTATTTTTTATTTTGGCCCACTGTGTATTTGAGTTTGACGCCCCTGCTCTACACCCTTCCACTACCTTCAAGTCCTGTTTTAACTGTAAATACATCGAGACATTCTTACATGAGTATTTTCACTTCTGCTATTTAAAAAGAGTACAAGTAGTAATCCTGTAGAGGAAATATTTGAAGAGGGTCTCTTTCTTTCTTTTCCACTAAATATCTGATTAGGTGTTACCGCCCACTCTACATCCTACTTTTAGACATCATTCTTTGTGAGCTTCCAGGAAAACTGTTAGTAATTGTACTGTTATTAGGAACCCTAAGAAGATAATGACTGTCTGTGTGTCTTTCAGCTTCTCGGGAACTGGGAGGCGCAGATGAGGAGAATAATGAAGATGATTGCTGGTGGGGGCCTCTCCATCACAGGGTCCCACACCATGTGTGGAGATTATCTGTACAGTGGCCACACAGTCATGCTAACGCTAACATACCTCTTCATCAAGGAGTGTAAGTTCCACTGTGCCTATACTTCAGGAAGCATGTACCGGGTGGCTTCTACTTTAATGCCACAAATGAAGCTCCTTTCACTTCCTCAAAGTCTATCTTTCTATTTACACATTTTAAGCAGATCATCGCCACAAACCCATCTGCAAGAACTCAAGGTTCAATGCTTTTATTGGTCATACGAACATAGCTAGAGTGTAGTTATGACGATGACAATCTTAGGTCACAGGCTCCTCCAACAGTGCAACACAATAAAACAGATAAACAGAAAGAAAATAGTGCAAGTAAATAGTAAATACAAAAAGTAAAATCGTAAAAAAAAAAGTGAAATAGTGCTATAAGAGTCTATATAAAAGTTATTGGAATATGATATATTAGATAAATAATTTCTAAGTAGCAGCCAGATTAATGTTATGCATGTTGTTTCAAAGTAATAATGTATTGCAATATCAGTTTAGATATCAAAATAAGGATGTACTATTCTTAAATTGTCACCAGGCTGTTAAACCATGTGTTTATGCTTTTGTAACACTTGATAAATGATAACGGAAATGAGCAGGAAACCTGCATCATGCGAGTGTCGTGCATTGGGACATTGCTCTGTTGCATAACCTCGGCAGGTGTTTCTGTTACGTGACTAATCTGGTTTGCAAAGCGCTCCTTGGTTAACCGCAGAGCGGAGAGTGTCAGAAGTCAGGATTATTTGAACCCCATTGGTTAATGTAATTTTACGACACTTTCGGTAAATGTCTCTCCCTCCTGCTACATCACATGCTACTGCAATGCTTGTCCACCACAGCAGCGCCCTCTTGTGGTGAAATGGAGAACAGCTTGTTTAATATTTCTGTAGAAAAGCCAAAGTGAACAGCTGACTCTCACAGGCTGATGATGAGCTGTTAACAATGATTTGGTCTCCTCTAGAGTTGACACTGCTGGGTTTGATCTGTGTTTCTCCCATATTAACCATTTATTTTGTACCTTTTTAATTGGCAGATTCCCCCAAGCGGTTCTGGTGGTACCACTGGTTCTGCTGGAGCTTGAGCGCTGTTGGGATTTTCTGCATCCTCCTGGCTCATGACCACTACACTGTGGATGTGGTGGTTGCATATTTTATCACTACACGCCTCTTTTGGTGGTACCACACCATGGCCAACCAGCAGGTGAGTTTTTTTTAGTTGTTGTCATTTGTAGTTGGAAATAAGTAAGTAAAGTAAATTGCCTTAAAAGGACAGCCTCAACATTTTAAGTTAAAGGCTTGTTACCTTGGTTGCTGGCTTTTTAGTGTGAGAAGATCAATACCACTCATAACTTTATCCTAAATATGAGTCTTCAGCCAACTTGTAGACAACACTTTTGTTTTACACTTGTGCTTTGGTCTTGAATGATTAAGATAGGATGCAGTATTACATAAGCTGTAGCTTCCAGCCATACAGACAAGAGAGTAGTTTTCCTATATTTCAAAGAAGGCAACAATATTTCTGAAAATATCCATGTATTACTTAAATATATTTAACTTTACAGGAATTTACACTTAGTTGTGATGACTGTTCTTGAGTTTTTAGGTATTTAGTTTAGTTTTTAAGCCAGAATAAACATATTCTTGTCTGGTTTATTATTTTAGCTATGATCAACATTGTATCTTAAAAATGTCCACTCAAACAAAAAGTACAGTTGACATGATGCAAAAGGACAGAAGTCTTGGAAGAATGTGAAGTAAATGACTCGATACAAGTCTTGGTTCCTCAATGCGTGCCCGGTATTCAAGGTCCACACTTAATTTACATGTCATTTATTTGTTGTTGCGTTTGTTTCAGTCGCTGAAGGAGACATCGCAGAGTAACCCGTTCTCGCGGGTCTGGTGGTACAGACTGTTCCAGTTCTTCGAGGAGAACGTCAGCGGGATGGTTCCTCGTAACTATCAGCTGCCGCTGTCATGGCGGTCGCTGCAGTGGAGCCGCGGCGTGAAGTACAGCAAACTGGAGGTCCAGTGACCCAAATCATTCAAAGCCGGCGAGGACTATGACTTCCAAAAGGGCTGTTTCTCCCCGAGGAGGGCGGCACGCTTCAATGTAGCGCTGTCCTGTCACCTCTAGGAAACAGACCCTGTCCAAATGGGTAGCACTGTGACCCACTTAGTATTTTTGTTTCTGTTAGTGTATATATATTTTGTTTCTATTTCTCTTCTGGTAGTATCCGTCAACACAGAGCACTAATTTATATTTGTTTTGTGTCTTCTTCCTCGTGGGTCACAGATTACGAAGCATTTCCTCAAACTACTAAAATATTTTTGGCCTCAAGGACTCAAACGTTTTTTTCTCTGCACAAAACCATAGTTAATGTCTTCATGTTCTTACAAGATTTTTCAGTGCAAATGGTGTCAATCAAATTCTGATTTGATAAGCAAAATGCCATAAGCACATTTTTGTTGTTTTCTTTTTATAGCAAATTACTTTTTGTAAACGGTCCTTGCTAAAATGAGTCAAAGGTGCAAAAAATAATGTTTTTAAGTATGTCAAACTTTATTTTTCAAAAACAAATGATGTCCAACAAAAGATTTTTAGATTTTTACCTTTTTCAAGATGGATAACTGAGAGCATAAGAATCCGATGTGGTGTAACATTATTCCAGTGCCTTTCTTAGCTTGATTGTAAAACAGTTCAAGTACTATGTGTCTTGTGTCTCTCGGCGAGTACGAGGCGGTACTTGGTTAACAGTCTCGTTCCCATGAATGTAAAAACAACTACGCCAGCCTTACCAGAGAATTGGTTTTCCCAAAATTCAGTGCAGTGAGTGATATGTCCCGTTTATTTATTAATGCTTGACAATGTCTATTCGTGCTTAGTTTGTTAATGCAGAAAAAATGACTGTTAATTGTGTATCCTTTTTTTAAATGTCAGTATCATTTAAATGTACCAATCAGTCTTTAACCAGCACCAGCCATGAAAGCCCGATCGTTGATGTTCAGTTGTATGCTGGTTTTACTTTCCACCACTAGTTATCTGCTAAGAATCACTGCCTGGTTGGAAAATGAAGATGTTTCTCTGCTTCTCGACATGTCTTTTTGCATCATAGCAGCGTCTCTTGCTCAGTTAATGAACCCCACGCTTGTTCCCCACATCGAGTCCCATTTTAGATCCTGAATGATCTCCATTACTGTCTGGTCTTATAACCTCTGGTGGTGGTGAGGAGATCTAGAGGATAGTTGTGATCTGAGTTTTGGGAATGTCAGAAAAACAGAAGCTTGAGGTAAAGTTTCTGAGCATGTCTGTAATCTCTACGGTTTATCTCCGACTAAATCAAGCTGCTATCTTCCAGTTTTAAGACGGTGTATGTTCTACACTGCTTCCTTTTTAGTGCTACGCCAAATCTAGAAGTAGCTAACACTCAACGTGGAACCTGTGTGTGGGGAAGAGGCTGAAGCATGACGCACAGAGCTGGTTTGGCCCGGGCCGTTTCTCATTGTCGAGTAACCTGCTGCAGAGCCACTATTTCAAGTATACTACGTCATCGAGTGGCGCCACTCGATGACGTAGTATACTTGAAATAGTGGCTCTGCAGCAGGTATACTCAACATTGAGAAACGGCCCCTGTGTGTGTGTGTGCAGGAAAACATTGATTTCCATGAATGTGAAAATGCGTACTTATTGATAATCCTAATTATGTTGAATTTTGCTTTATAACTGACTGAACTGTAAAGAGTAAATATTGCACACGTTTATCTATAGAGGGAAAGATTGTGGAATTTCAAATTAAACTGAAAAGCTTTGAGGAAGAAAAACTGCACTAAGCTTTAGATTATACAAATCCCAAATAAATAAAAGTTATGTATCTTTCTTTGAGTTTTCAAAAGAAGAGCGTGAGTATAACATTATTTCTAAGAGTCTAATTAATTTCAATGCCAGCAAGAGTCTTAATGTTTAAGACAAATGACAGTCCAGGCGTACCCTCCTTCCTTTACAATCATTTCACTTTAACAGAACGGTTTCTCTTTAAGAGCACAGCAGGTTCCTCACATTCGGCTTCGTTTTGCTTTTAGATAGTGTTTGAAATATCAGCCCTAACACGGCTCTCTCATAATGTTTCGAGAGCTTTGATAAGGATGACGGTTTAAGTTTTTTTGTATTTTAGTTTGCCAATCAAGTAGTTTTTTTTTTTAGTTTTTTTAACGTTCGTCATCCTATATGTTCCTCTGTAAACTTCTCACCCATGTTGTCCTTTGTTTGTGCATATACCAGATGTTTGTAAGATATGATAAAGGATTGTACTTGGGATGCTTTTGAATAAAACCTTTTACTAAAATGTATTTGATTTGCTGTCTGCCTTTTTCTTTCTATATTTACCACAATTTCTTCTGAGATGACGTCATGGCAGACCCACTAACAGCCAGCAGATGGACACATTGAGTTAAATGAAATAAGACCCGTACAGTGAGGGGGGGGGCGCGCTCTCCTCCCAAATGTCATTTTGCTTCCTGTTTGTATTTGTGCACTCCACCTACTGCAAGTATGTCTGACAGTCACTTCCTCCATTCATTGTGGCTTTTCTTGGTAACCTTTCCATCATGTCTCGCTAATGTTTCCAACTTGAGTCTTTTTGTAACCTCTCATCCAGCCAGATGTTTTATAGTCTGCTGAGCATAAGGTTTTCGAATAAACACACTGACATTTACACTTTCCAGTCCCATGTATCCATTGTTAGACTTTTTTTGTAATAACTTAAAATGGCCTAAAATGGCGTCTAAAGGTTATGGTTCTTAGAAAATATAATCCGTTTGGAAATTATTAACAAAATAATCATTTTTATGATTATAAAATAATTACAAAATAAGTCTTCTTACTGCTTGGGAATCAGTTGTGGCAACCAACTGATTCCCAAGCAAGAAGAAGAGTACAGACAAAACACAAATACATCTCTTAATAAAAACAACCTAAAGTTTTTCGCTGTCAGAAAAATGTATGTTCATAAGGCATCCCAACACTCACAGTTAAAGCCTGTTAACCCTTTTTCCTTGACTTTAAGACAGCCAAAATGTGAAGTTAACTACTGACTTTCATCCAGGAAATGAAGTTGTAAACATACTCTTTAAAATGTAAAGTAAACATGTTCAACATTTTTATCTTGCTAATTATTAAATGACTAATCCGTGCCGGTTATTGAGGAATCTCAGCCTCTAGAGAAAACAAAAGGTAATAAGAGCATGACCTCTTTTCAAATAGTTGAAAGGGGGTTGGAAGAGTTTTCTGTAATTGCTAAAATAGCAACGTGTTCTCATAATTCCCTGCATGAAAAAAGGGGGCATATATTTATCTGAAGCCGGCTCATTGGCCCGTGGGAGAATTTGCTGGCACCCCAGAGAGATTGAGCTGTCCAGCCAAGCCGAACTCCCACGCATTACTACTGTACACAAATGAGGGAGTGGGACTGTGCTCTCAACATCTCCTAGATTCTGCTGACATTAAATAGGCCACAGTGATGCTCTCAAGATAGCTTAATGTGGCTAAAAATATTTCAAATACGCAAGTGTTTTATCTGTACTGTGACAGAAAGCAGGCTGTGTCCTTAATTACTGCCACCTTGCATTTCATATGAGAGTGGTGGAATCATATTTTTATTCCTAAATAATGTGATACCATGCTGCTCTGGCGTTCTCCACACTGCAGCCGCCAGTTTTCCAATCTGGACATTTTCTCCCCTTCAATGTCCATCAATGATGTTCCGTAAGAAGTACATTTTTACAGCGTGTGCCTTAATTGGAGAAAGTGTTATAGTTGCACAACAGCATCACAAAACACTGTCTGCTGCTACGGAGTAACCTACACTCCCTCAAGGCCGAGTCGCCAAGAAAAACACTGGTCTGATTCATGGCTTCACAAGCAAACTCTATTCTATTCTCAGCAGTGCTGCGGTCTTTCACCGTAATACCATACTTAGTCTGTGAAGATAATGCTGTTGGAGTGCAAATGGAGTTTTGTCTATTAATGGATGGCTTGGAAAGTGGGTGGTATGAGAAAGAAGGATTCGGCTAATAAAACCGTCATGATGTATACAATCATGTTCCCCTCCTGAGCTTGTACTGAGGATACTTAATGGATATGAAGATACACACACACACACACACACACACACACACACACACACACACACACATTACTTCAGGGGACATTACATTGACTTTCATGCATTTCCTGGAGACTTACCCTAACCTTAACCATAACCAACATATGCCTAACCCTAAAACCTAACCAGTCTTCACCTAAAATAATGCACACACACACACACACACACACACACACACACACACACACACACACACACACACACACACACACACACTCCATTTATTGTTTTGTGTCTTTCCAAGGTTAAAAAGTGATCAGTTGAATAATCCCCCCACACATCTCTCTACGTTTTAAATCATTTCTCTAGTGCTGTGGAGTGTTTTTGTAGAGCTGTGATTTATATCTATAATGGATTGCATGAAAAAGTCAGAAGGTACTGAAAGGAACAGTTCAGTTAAAAAACGTAACTTTTTGTTACCTGTATTGCTATGTGTTGGACATATTGGCGATAGAGATGTCTGCCTCTTCTGATGGTTTGTAGTGCTCAAAGGTCCTATTTTCTTTCTGATAAACTACAAATGCCAACCGTCACTAAAGAAGCGTGATGCTGATTCTTCGTCCGTGAGTAGATGCATGGTTCCTTTTCATTCAAAAAGAAAACAGTTCTTGAATGGAACTGCTCACAACCAGATTACTCAAATACTTGAGTTTGAATAACTCTATCACAATCTAGATTAATAAATAACACTACAGGTACAAGGAAATATTTGAAAATTGTCTGAATCACCTTTTCTTTTATGGAGTCATGTTTATTTGATGATTGTAGGTCCAATATTAACTCTCCTTTAAGCTATTTTTCGGTCTCTCTCTACTAGAAGTGAAATATCTGGTTAGCGGAGTCTGCCAAAATAGGACTGTAAAGGAGTGAACAAAAACAGTAAAGTTGTGGTTGAGTTAAATAAGGAGCTTAGAGTTCCGTAAAGCCAAGAGGAGATGCAAATTCACGTGATAACTTCTTGTAGGTTCTTCACAACTAGTAACCCATTTTACATTGCCATATAATTCATTGATAGATAGAAAATATTGATTTTAGCTTCTTCTGCTCTAAAACACCTTAATATTCTTAATATAATATTAATATAATCGGTCGGTCATATATATTTAACCATCGGGCATGTATTCTGTTGAATTCAAAGTGTTGACCCCTACCCTGTTCAGTGTGTTGACCATGAATCATATGTTAGTTATCAGTGTAAACGATGGAACAGGTCACCACTTTATTTGAAGGGGCGCAAACATGATGAAGTAATGAAAAAGTCGTGCTTAGTTAATCAGGATTACAACACTTGGAATTGCCGTGACTGGTCAGTTTTTTGGCTTGACCCTTTAATTGCAGATCTATATGAAGAAGACATGAACATCATTAATAACTCAGAAGTCATGATGATTGAGATACCTTAGTTGATGCATTAATTAAGGTATTGTTCCTGCATTAAGTCATGCATGAGATACTATTAATACCTGTACATTACTGATAGTTCATGAACTACATGAATGAATTCATGCTTTTTCATGCATTAAGTCATGCATGAATTCATGATGATTCATGCATGAATTCATGATGATTCATGTACCCTTACCGTAAAGTGTTACCAGTTAAATAAGGAGCTTAGTGGTCCGTAAAGCCAAGAGGAGATGCAAATTCATGTGTAACCCATTTTACATTGTCATATAATTCATTGATAGATAGAAAATATTGATTTGAGCTTCTTTAGCTCTAAAACACCTTAATATTCTTTGTGTAGTTTTGGTCTACTTTGTTGCAAGCACGGTTGTGAAAGACTGCAAAAAGGTCCAACATATCAGCTTCCAAAAACATCCAGGTACATTTGACAACTTTTATTGCCAACAACTTTTGAAAGTCAGCCAAGTCAGCAGTAAAACAACACTATCTTCGGAAAATAATACACTTTCCTCTCAAGAGACTCGATATTATCAGAGCACTCCAGACCCAGAACAAATGTGGCTGCGGAGGAGGAAGACGCTGACAGTTGTGATGATGAAAGTTATTTTCATCACACACACCATTATCTGTGTGGGTGAGAGGCAATGCCCCTTCACACATCTCAAGGGTCATAAATGACCAGAACCGGCAAGTGCTAACCCCCCTCCCCCTTTCCTGCTAACCACTGAAGTTTATCCTCGCCTCAGAGCTTACTCATCTCGCCACGCTCTGTAACTTTGGCCAACACTCCCTCGAGCCTCTCCCCATTTGAAATTGCATTGCAGTTTCCGCCTGTCTAGCATTGGAGAGGTGCCTCAGTAACTGGCAGTCACACAGTAACAGCCAATATGGCACGGTGGGGATTTTCAGCGGTGGGGGTCACCCCAAGACACCAATGAGCCAATGAGTTGGGTTTGTGATTGCTTCCTCTAAATTCTATAATTTTTACAAGTATGGAAGTGAGTCCCCTGTCGGTGCTAGAGTGGTTTCAGAGAGCGACATACTGTGTGATGTAACAAGTCAAAAGTCAACTCACGCCGACTGAGGGAACTCTCGTGACTAATGGAAACAGTTTCTGCGACCATCTGTCCACAGTCCTTGCCACCAGTGCTGTCACATCAGAACAAATACCAATCTACCTTCCAGGCCAATTTTGTATGCATCATGCTCTCTGGCTGCTGAGGAGTTTATTTTTGTTGATGGACTTTGGAAACAGGCCGACACGTTCGGGTGAGCGGACAACTAAGAGATCACTGTCATATCCTGAAGTCAAAGTGTCACTTAGACAGAGACTGCTGCTGAATCTTTTGCTCGAAGGAATGTGGATTAAGATACTCCTCCTGTTTCAATCATTGTATTAAAACATGCCAACATTTACAAAAGAGTAACCTGAAAGGCACAATGAGCAGGATTTGTCTGTTCTGGTCGCCCAGCAAAAGTATTCAATATTCTCTCTCTTCTAGCTCTATTTATTGTCTTTATAAACCGCAGAGCAAAAATATTTAAAGTGCTTAAGGCTCTATCACATTACCCAGTTAGTCATTAACTTAGTATTTTGGTAATTATTACCTTGTCGAAAAAGCAGCCTGATGATGGGCCTGGAAATGGCTCAACAATTGAAAGGGCACCAAAATCCAAAACAACAGCTGAGGGGAACTAAAAATGTTGTTCACTATGAGTGATCCCTCTCCCACTAAAGCATCACCTTTATAGCGCATGTCTCCCAAGTTATAATGGGAA